CAAATAGCCGCCCCCCTGACCTCCACGCCAGAACGGATTAACGGTAATTACATTGAACCTTATGGGAAAATTTGCTTCGGGTCGCGACCAATTTGGGTCGCGACCAGAGTCATGGAACAAATTAAGTTCGTAAACCGAGGTTCCACTGTAGTAGAATATTATCCTGAATATTCAGATTTTCAAAAGGAAGAGTTGTGACAATTGATTTCAGCAAATGAATGTAATTGTCCCAGAAATATTAATAACTTACCTGTGCCTTCCCTCCCCTCTCCCTTCCAAATTGTAATTCAGGATCAAGAATCTAGGCCGTTTTTCCTTTGTGCTTAATGTAGAGGCTATGCCTCTGACTTCTGAGAAGCATATATTTTCAGCCTCAGGCATTTAGAGAATACATCTTCCTCCAAGTCAGTTAGCCAGAGTTGGAAGTTTCTCCTCTATCATCAGCAGTTCTCGGAGAGGTGACAGTTCCTGAATCACCTCCTTTTTTCCCTTTTATTGCAAAACCGATACTAAATGAATTAAAGGAAATACCTATGTCTGCTGAGACTGCTGAAATAGTATCCTTCTAACTGTAATATATATATGAATAAAAATATAAATAATATTAAATGTTTTTACTGTTGTGTGCCAATTATTCCTTTTTCTCATTAATAGTCATTATTGTTGAAATCTATGGTTTTGAAATGACTTAATATTTCTAAGCCATTATTGCAACCAATTGATTTGTTTGAGTGGTAAAATAATCACTTTGAATGATACAGGTGAAGTCTATACTTGGGGAGATAATGATGAAGGGCAGCTCGGAGATGGGACAACTAATGCCATCCAGAGGCCACGTCTGGTTGCAGCACTTCAGGGTAAAAAGATCAACAGAGTAGCTTGTGGTTCAGCACATACTTTAGCCTGGTCTACTAGTAAGCCTGCTAATGCAGGCAAGCTCCCTTCCCAGGTAAAAAAATATTTCTTTTAACTTATGTTTTTAATCTGTTGGTAAACTGTAAAATCAGAATATAGTAGCCGCAAGTATAGAACCATTGCTCTTCGCTTTTTCTCTATTTATGCGTTGATCATGTCATGCTACAACTTGTTAGGCTTGGGGCCAAAAGGAATGTTTTGATAAGAAAGATATATTGTTTTCCCAGACTCCTTATGAAATTTATGAACTTTTAAAAATCTTGATTGCTTGCATTCTTTACCCCCCTCCTCCTATATCTGCTGTTTCAGTACCATTCCTTTGTGTGAACTGCATGACTAAAGTTGGCAAATGGCAAACTACATTTTTAATGGGTTTAATCACAGAATACTGTGTATTATTATTATTATTATTATTATTATTATTATTATTAAATTTTTTGGCTGTCCCAGTTCCAATGAACTCTGGTCAGCGCACAGAGCTAAAAAGAGATAAAAACAGCTAAAGATATAGATAATGGATTTGGCTATATTATCATTGAGGGGAAATGAGGTCATGGAAAGGGAGGAAGTGCTTCATTGATTGGCAGAACATGTATCTAATAGGAAATTGTCACATGCCATGCAATTAAACATGACTTTGCAGGGACAAATGAAGTTGGGATGCCCAATTGAAGTGGGGAAGGAGTCATGTAAATGAATTGGCTGTACTTCTTATTACTGCTAAAAAGTTAGAAAAACAAAATATATGTTTGTTTTAATGTTTCCAGCAAAAATTTATAAAATATAGCGGGTAGTTTGGGGCCAGTCCTCTTCACTGTGTGCAGCCCTGTGTATGGATCTATACATGTAAATACAATAAAAAACTCATAAAGGCAATACTTAATAGATAGGGTACCTAATTAATTGACTTTTGGTCTTATATTATCTTACATGACAGATCACTCGTACAATGCACATGAAAATCTAATGATGTGAATTTTGTAGGTTCCTATGGAATACAATCATCTACAGGAAATTCCTATCATTGCCTTAAGAAACAGATTGTTGTTACTGCATCACATCTCAGAACTCTTTTGCCCTTGTATTCCCATGTTTGATCTTGAGGGACGCCTTGATGAGACTGGCCAGGGTCCCTCAGTGGGGTTTGATGCATTACGAGGAATTTTGATATCACAAGGAAAGGCATGTATCTCAAAACTTTCTACTAATAATTACTTACTAGTTACTGTCATAATGTTTAAAGTGTGCACATTGTTAAAATCTCATCCAAGGTATAAGATTTACAGTATATGAAGAATATGGCATGAGATACATGGAATTCAAGTATTCAAGAATTACAATAAGATTTCTACTGATGTATTTCTGATAATATAAGACTTTGTATTTTAAGTGAAAAGTGAATAATTCAAATATTCAAGCAAAAATTGTATTTTATGCTTAAAATATAGAGTTATGTTCCAAACCCCTTGTTTTCTCTTTTTAGGAGGCAGCTTTTAGAAAGGTTGTACAAGCAACTATGGTGAGAGATCGTCAGCATGGGCCAGTTGTAGAACTCAACAGAATACAAGTAAGAATGTCATAATATGTGTTAAATGTGAGATTTATGGCCAAAGTCTTGTGTTTGAAATTGAGGATTAGAGAATGGGAAGGACAACTTGTAGTACTGATAAAATTTTTGCCATTTCTTTCTAATTCTGATTGATTGCTGCTGATTGATTTGCTACTTTTAAAAGCTCTGCATTATTTGATAGATAAGAAATAAAACATTTTAGTAGCCATGAGACATCTGTGAAGTTTTTGTGGTTCTGTGATAGATAAAGGTATATGTAAATAAAACATTACTCTATAAAGGTCCAGTCTGCTTTGGCGAAACCATTCACAATTGTGTGGACTGTGTGCACACAATTGCACTCTGATAGGCATGTGTATTCTGATCTTCTACTGTATATAGGTTCCATGAATGGAAGGAGTTTCCATTTGTTACCCACTCTCCCTGCATCCACATGTTCCTTGTCAAGAGCCTTTCTGGAAACAAACAGGGCCATCCTGAACAGTGTGGAATAGATGGTGGGCACGTTGGCTGAGAGAGGAAAGAACTGAACTGAGCAGAGCCCTGCTTAATTTTGAGTGATTCTTTTCCTGATGAATGTCATGTCTAAGCTTTCCAGAAAGGCTTTTTGGGAACACAAACAACTGCTAGTAGAAACAAGGCATGAACACTTTTCTTTTTGTTATATTAATAACCATGACACTGATAAAGAGATAGCAAATACTTACTTATTTACTTACTTACTTACTGATTGATTGATTGATTGATTG